CACACAGTGACGTAGACATGTGGGGCCGTGTCTAAACGAGGTGTTTTAGGAGGGTGTGGACAAGTCTTAACTTGTATAAAGAATATCTCTTTAGGTTTGAGAATTTAGTCTTTGCAACTTTAGGGATCTTATCTATGCACAAACAGCTTGTAACACTCCAAAGTGAAAGGAACATTTGAAATTGCATCATATGACCCCTTTAATATTTTTGCTTTCATCACTATTTATGTCTTTCTTCAGGAGAAAAAAATTGCTTTCTAAATTTGGTTGATTTTATATATATAACTTCTATATAATGTACACATAAATATTATAACTCATCCAACCCATCTCTAACATTGCCATTTCATTTCCAAATAAAAGCAGACGAAACACAACGTCAGAATGCCCTTAAACAATCAAAAAAGAATTATTCACACAACCCTAATTTGGTACTAATGTCATCTCCGAGTGCTCTGAAGTATGGTGCTTTAGCAGTGAGAGTTTGCTATGATCATGGAGTCGATATAGTATATTATGAAATCTAGGTTCCCAGAGTGATGCAACGTTAATAATTACCAGAATCAAAAATAAGGCCAAAATTTACATATCCTACAATGAAATAAAGGCAGTTGGGCTAAGCATTATTCTACAGGGTCACAATATCACAGAGTCATTTTGTATTCATTGGTTTTGGGGAAAAAAAGCAGGACATTAATGGAGTTTCTAAGGGATTGAACAGAAAACACTGCACTGCACAGCAACTGCGTTACTTTAGAGCTCAGTTTCCACACTTTATGAAGAATTTCAAGCAGCAGTTCACCAAAAATATATACTGTCGACATTTATTTAGTGTCATGTTGTACACTTCATCATATCAGTGTTAATTTTGTTGACGAATAATTTGTCAACGACATTTTTTCACCGACGTCAACGAGATGATAAAACTCTATTTGAATGACAAAAACTATGACGGCAATCTATTGACATTTTCGTCAACGAATAAAAAAGAGACGAAAATGTTAGGGAGGGACGATTTGGGAAGAGATTCATTCAGAACGAATCTGCTGCGTGGTTCGGAGGTTAGATGCGGGACATAAGCTAAAATACACTTGCTGCACGTCGCATAAAACGTTCAAAAATGTCAATATGTGGGATATGTAATCATATGTAATCATAATGTAACAGCATAATAATGCAAGAAGGCCTACACACTTCCAACTGACAACAAACTTTCACTTTTTAAGAATATTTAAATCATGGCAATTAAGCATCAAAATATTAGATACCTTAAAAAACTTGAATAAATAGTAAATAAACATTTTCTAACAAAAAGTGCAAAGTAACAAGTAGAAAAAAGAAAGATGCACAAAGAACTTGTATGGAGATTTTTTCCATCTAAAGATTTTTCCCTGACCTTCTTTTCTCAGTAAATTAAAGGTGCACACTATTGCTGAAAAACACAATCACTACTCAGCAGTCAGATGGCCGTATGCACAAAGGCACAGATCCCTAAACAAGGCCATATCTGCAGATTAAACTTTTTTTGTAGAAGCATTTTTTAAATTTGAACTAGCACATCATGACTACACCACGGTATGTATGAGAAGCTGCAAAAGACACAGGCGCAAGTGAAATGTACAAAACATGGTGACATTAAATTTTAAGTAAATATAATGGGCGATATATTGCGTCACCAAAAATTATTGAGGTCATGTACATATATTGCGTGATAGGTCGATATATTGATTATTGCGACAGGCCTTCTCACAGCACACGAATACTCTTTCGCGTCGCATGAACGGAGAATTACACACAAAATGATGTCGAATTGTCCTTTTTGACGAGTATTCACGTAAACACAGTTGATTATGTCTTAAGTGAACGTAAACAGTAGGGAGAACGTGTATCAGTACATTGCATCCATTACAGCTGAGCATTCGGTTTTAAAGAGACAGCAGCCTAATTCAGTTGCTATTGTCAGTCATTTATGTTAATCAAGCAACAAAAGAAAGACAGAAAATCACGCACTGCTCTTGACTGAAAAACTTTAGTAGCCCTTAAGATTAATCTAAATTTAATATCAAACCTATATAATGAGTTTGGAGAATTTAGAGAAATGCTTAATAAATGCTCTGTAACTAAACCCATTAGATTTTAGCCGACTAAATTTACCGTAGATTTAATCGACTAAAATCGTATGATATTTAGTAGACTAAAGCCTCGTGCACACGGGAACGATTATCGCGCGCACTTATTTGCGCGTCTTTTGTGTTCATACCCAAGCGATTTTCGCTGCCGATGAGCCGACCGAACGTGCAAATTCACTCCCTGACATTAGATGGCGCTTAATGAAAAACAGAAATACCCCGGTACACATCGAATCCTATTTGATCTGCAATTCCTCTCCATAACAACTCCATCTTATCGAGATTTTTGTAGTTGCTGTCGTGTTTGTCATAAAGCCCTTTGTGTTCATACGCCAATGAGACCAGCAGCTCTACATTCATCTTGCCTCGATGCATCTTCTTTGTTTACTTACTTCCTCTTCATTGTTGGGTATCAATGTGTGCTCGGCAAGAACGTTTTGTGCTTGAGTGCGACCAAGTCGTGTTTTACTGTAACTTCAGCAGCTCCAGGCATGTGAACAGAAGGGCCAATCTCATTGGTCGGCCAGTTTTTAACGCGGCGCGTCAAACGAAAAAAAAACGAGCCAGAGGATTTTTTTTTTTTTTTAAATGACGCTTTTACGCCTCGCGTTTTGCGCGTCGGTGTGCACACTCACATCGGCGCCCTTTGTTTAGTCACGAGGCGTTAAACATCGGCGGTAATCGCACGCGATAATCGTCCCGGTGTGCACAAGCCTTAAAACTAAAAACAATTAAGATGACTAAAATACGACTAAAACTAAATGGCATTTTATTCAAAAGACTATGACTAAAACTAAATCAAAATTTGCTGTCAAAATTAACACCGCATGTTTTTTAAATATATTTTTCAAGTACCATTTACCAATATCATGAGTTATTTATTTATAAATATTACATTTTTGATTCACACTACATTTACAACCAGAATTAACTTTGCAGTGTCATAAAAAGGACAAATTATCATATTATAATTTTAAGAAAACAATTTGACCTTAACACACACTCATGCATGTCTGCAGTTTTTCTTTCTATGACTATATTTACATTCACAATGTTCTGAAGCATGTGCAAACGTCACCATTATTTTCCTACATTTCCACAAAAGAAATTGTGGCAAATTTGTGCAAAGTTTAACAACCTTGAACCCGGCATGAAATCTGAGTGGCCTGATTCTTTGCCACCGAAAGTCCATCATTACAAAATGCTGAGGTGATAAAAAGTTATGCAAATGCTGCTATCAAGTCTTAAATAGATTTCTTGCAATAGTGTCTTTTTCTTCCCCCACGTTAATTGGCGACTTCAGCTGCTAATAGTTTTTCTATTAATATTTTTAATATTTTAACAAAACTTCACTGTTTTGTTTTCTTAAAAATATAATGAGGAACATAATAAATAATAATAATAAAAGATTATGTGAAACAAAAATGTAAGACTTTCATTTAATTAGGTTTTTCTTCATTAAGATAAGAAAACTTTTTTCGGGTGGGGGGCAAATTAAAAATTAATTTTAATTCAGAAACTAAAAACATATACAATAAAAGTACTCAATCAACTGTATGCGGGTCAAAGACGAAAAAGTGTTTAAGCATAAAAACAATACTACTTTAAGTTGTTGTTTTTCACAAAAAAAAAATTACAATCTGTTTCATGTAATTGTATTTTTGTTTTTTTTCTGAGCAAAAAATAAATATCATACATTTTCCCCTGATTTACAGAAGAGACCCACTAAAATGTCATTCAGTGAAACAATCTTGTCAGGCATATTTACAACAAAAATCAATTTATGACATATTAAAAGACTTTCACCCCAAATACTAATTAGTTGTAATTTTTCATTTTTTTTTTTTTTTTTTTTAAATGTGCCACTATCCTAGGTTTTGCCAATTTGTCAGTAATAATTTTTTACTCATTTAAAACACAATCAAATTGAATATGCTCACTTATTCTTTTATATATTGTAATATGTACACGTCATTATTATTTGTTTTAATTTTTCATTTTTTTTTTTTTTTTTTTTTAAATGTGCCACTATCCTAGGTTTTGCCAATTTGTCAGTAATAATTTTTTACTCATTTAAAACACAATCAAATTGAATATGCTCACTTATTCTTTTATATATTGTAATATGTACACGTCAAAATAAGCATGTTGTTTGAATTTTTACATAACTATAAAAGTGTTACACTGAATGACAATGAAACATCATTTCAAACTAATTTTGACATTTTATTCTTCAAAAACTTATTTGAAACCTTAAATGTAGACACTTTACTTGCATTTAATGTGCTTTCTATGGACATAAAACAACTTTTGTCAATTTATTTTGATGCGGGCATCTTAACGTCTTTGACCCATGCATAAATTGCATTTTCTGTATTTTGAATAAACTGTTTTTTCATTTGTAATTTCAAAAGTAATTAAAAAATCTGTTAATCTTTCACTCTACCGAAGTTATGAAATCTCACCTGCACTGAGAATAAAATTTTTTTTAAAAGTTTGAATGAAGAATGAGATCTGAGAACGGCAGCAGGAAAAGAAAAATGACTTTAATTTGGGTCCGTTTGTCAAACAAAGCTATACGGCTTCAGAACAGTCAGATATTACAGACAAGTGGTGCAGATGGCTTTAACCATACTTCTATGGCGGTTCGTTTTGCAGCTTCAAAGCTGTAGTCACAAAGTCGTATTGGAAAAGAGTTAAGTGAAGATTCTTCAAAAACTCTTTTGTGTTTAACAGCAAAAAAATAGCATCATACAGCTTTGAAACAACAATTTCTATATTTAGGTAAACTATTCCTTAAAGTAAAATGGAAAGGCCACCCTGCATTGGCTTGAAACATAGATGAAAACGTCCTCAGTGAAGGCAGTTTACCTTGTGGTGCAGAGCTCGCAGGAGTCAACTGCTCTATTCTACTTCCTCTCCTTCCTTGTCTGCTTTTCTTGAATTCAGCCAAACAAGAGTACGATCTGAAAACAAAAGGGTCAGTGGGTTGAAAATTAGCCACTTGTTCCAAGTTTCATCTTCTGATACTGAAATGCAGTGGAAAATTACAGACCCTGGACGCCTTGCATGGAAAATCCCTAAATTTATTGCACAAAAGGGGGAAAGGCCGGCTTCTGAAAATTTCCATGAAAATTCTATTCTTAGATTAGAAACAGTTGGAGGGCAGACTGTGGGTTTTTGTTTGAGGAGCAAATCCTGACCAAAACAGCCGCGTAATAAAACCACAGCGTAAAAAGAGCATTAAAAATGTTGTATATCTGCTGCTTTGACACCTGCGTAGTGATGTTGCGTTCTTAAAGAGTCTCTGTGTTTTCAGATTTGAAAGGAAAAAAATATATATATCACTTTTGGAATTGATGTGGCTCCAAAGTTCTGAGAGCACGATGAAAACATGGGACTTTTTCCCTCTTGTAAACCTAGCTAGCAATAACGTTTTAAGTTTCATAAAAAAAAAGTTATGATTTCTAATAGGCTACAACAAAATCTGAATTTGCAAAAACTTGTGGAGTCCATCCTTTAATTAAAGAAAACGGGAAAATAGCAAATGCTAAGAAATTCATATACCTTTTCCAATTCAACTTTTCTTAAATCGTTATGCCGATAATATAATTTGTACTGAACTTGGCTGAATTTGGAATGAATCTTGTATTAAATTCTAAAAATGCACAAGTAGCATTTCCTTCTCTTTTGGAGGCCACTGAAAATATATTTAGTTTTTGACAATTGTTCATTAAAGGGATAGTTCACCTAAAAATAAAATAATAATGAACTATCTTTTGTGGAACAAAAATGTCTAATTTTATGTCCATACAATCAATGGGGTCCAAAGTTGTTTTGGAACATGTTTTGTGCCCCACAGAAAAAGAGTTAGTCATACAGGAATAACATGAGGATGAGTACATGTAGGGCTGGGCGATATAGCTAAAAAAATTATCAACGATATAATGTTTCATATCGTTCGGTATTGATAATTATTGACATTTTGTATAACCTTTTTTAAATTAACCCAATTTATTGAGACAAACGAAAAAAAATTTGTTTGTCTTAACAGTCAAACACACAATAAAAATTAAACAAATATCTAATTTCTAATGTTTTATATGCAGATTAAATAGGTTTAAAGGAAACGCTTGTCTTGTCTCCCGAGGCCACAGGAGGGCGCAATGAGCAAAATAATGCAGCACATTAAATTGTCAACGCATGGAAATAGCGGTCTATAAAAAAACGTGCATTACGTCTAAATTAACTCATATAAATCAAATGTAATTTAGTAAATTGCATAAACAATTATGAACAAAACAGCATCACGTATTTATGCATTGCTTAATACAAAGAGCCAAATCGGCCATCACGCAGATTGCATTTAAAAACATAAGAGACGCAATGAAAAGGAATAAACCTCCACAAATTTGGGACGTGTTTTCTAAAAGTTTAAACTGTTTTAACTTTGCATGGCTACATCTCTTGTGTGAGACGTGAGTGCAGCAGTCATATTTGTCAGTCTAAAAAAAATGCGCTAAATATGCGTTCTGTGTGAATGGCTTGGTTTCGGTTTTAACCTAATCAAGATCTTCTACGCATTGAGCTTCTATATATCTCTAATATTTTGAATGCATAACACAGCAGCGGCGCGTCTCGTGGGCTAGACTAACAAAACATTCAAATGCAACAACGTCACTTACATCATCATCACCGCATCTTGTGCGCCACTGATGACGCTCCCTGACGCGCACCTAACATTCAGATGCAAACGTTTATTTTAAATTCGACTAATATTCATTTTTTTTATTCACAATCTCCTCGTCACAGGCAGGCACAGCACTCAATTCAGCATGTGTTCTGTGTGCTGTCTGCGTCACTCATAGCACTAATCGAACATTTTTTATATCGTTATCGAAGAAGGTGTACCGTCGATAATTATCGATACCATTTTATCGCCCAGGCCTAAGTACATGACAGAAAGAGATGATGAGAAAACACCAGATCACAAAAGGACACATCTGTCTCATTTGTATATTCAGTACAAGTAAAGGTGACTTGTAAGAATTCAGAAATAAAGAGAACTTATAAAACTATATCTCCATATATAAAAATGGGTGTCCATCTAGAAAGCAAGTTAAAGGGTTAGTTCGCCCCAAAATGAAAATTATGACATTAATTACTCACCCTCATGTCGTTCCAAACCCGTAAGACCTCCGTTCATCTTCGGAACACAAATTAAGATATTTTTATTATTATTTACTAATCTGAGAGCTCTCTGACACTCCCATAGACAGCAACGCAACTGAAATGTTCCCAGACAGAAACGTAGCAAAGACATCGTTAATACAGTCCATGTGACATCAGTGGTTCAGATATGAGAATACTTTTTGTGCGCAAAGACAACAAAAATAACAATTTATTTAACAATTCTTCTCCCCCGAGTTACGTCTTCTGCCATTTTGAAAAGTACCCAAGAACGTAATCGGCGTTGTTTACGTAAGGGGAGAAAGCGTGCGCATGAATGTAATCGGCGTTGTTTACGTAAGGGGAGAAAGGACGCGCATGAACGTAATCGGCGTTGTTTACGTAAGGGGAGAAAGCGTGCGCATGAATGTAATCGGCGTTGTTTACGTAAGGGGAGAAAGGACGCGCATGAACGTAATCGGCGTTGTTTACGTAAGGGGAGAAAGCACGCGCATGAACGTAATCGGCGTTGTTTACGTTAGGGGGGGGAGCGCGAGCATGAACGTAATCGGAAGCACGCGCATGAATGTAATCGGCGTTGTTTACGTAAGGGGAGAAAGCACGCGCATGAATGTAATCGGCGTTGTTTACGTAAGGGGAGAAAGCGCGCGCATGAATGTAATCGGCGTTGTTTACGTAAGGGGAGAAAGCACGCGCATGAATGTAATCGGCGTTGTTTACGTAAGGGGAGAAAGCGCGCGCATGAACGTAATCGGCGTTGTTTACGTAAGGGGAGAAAGCGCTCGCATGAACGTAATCGGCGTCGTTTACGTTAGGGGAGAAAGCGCGCGCATGAATGTAATCGCCGTTGTTTACGTTAGGGGGGGAAAGCGCACGCATGAACGTAATCGGCGTTGTTTACGTTAGGGGGGAAAGCGCACGCATGAACGTAACCGGCGTTGTTTACATTAGGGGGGAAAGCGCGCGCATGAACGTAATCGCCGTAATCAGCGTTGTTTACACTTTAGAGTAAAGCGTGCAAATGCGTTGTGATACTCTACAAAATGCTGGATCACAACGCATTTGCACGCTTTACTCTAAAGCAGGGGTGGCGAACGTCAGTCCTGGAGAGCCGCAGCCCTGCAGAGTTTTGCTTCAACCCTAATCAAACACACCT